AATCAATAGACGGTTGGCACCCAAAGGCAACCGAGGAACAGAGCTGCCTGCGACAATCCCCAAGCCTATTTTGGTTGCTGCACAGCCTGGGAAAGACTAGGCAGGCATGTGCTGATGACAAAGAGAGCAGGTGGGAAAGGGCAGCTCCAACCTGGGAGGACGCCATGGTCTTGGCCAGCTGCTTTGGACCCTCCAGGCACTCCTCTGAGCCAGGATTTTTGGTCCGAGATGCCAGGCATTAGTGAGAGCAGAGGATTCAAGCCAGCAGCTGCTCTTGGCAGGAGACAGGGCCTTGGGGGGGGGGGGGGGGGGGGGCCCCCCCCCCCCGAGATTTTGTCTTGAGGAAGGGCTCCACTGCAGCTGGAGGGCTGCTGCTCCCTTAAGGTTTGTGCCCAGTGGGTTTAACTGCGTTCTCCTGAATGCCTTGAGGCCCTGTCAAGGGGATCCTTGCAAAGAGACCCCCTGCACCTCCCACCTGTTCTGCCAGAACTTGCAGCAGCCATGGCTGGGCCGAAGAGGGCGAAGCCTGCAGGCAAATGCTGTGCATCGGAGGCTCTGGGCTGCCCACAAGGAAGCAGTGGGCGCTCTATACCCTGCAACCTCCACTTTCCTCCCACTGAGCCAGGCACAGGAAGTTGGTCAGCATTGGGAGCTTGAGGCCTCTCTTTTGGCACATCAGGGCAGCATGACTTAAATCTGGGTTTCCCCTTTCCTTTTCACGTTGCCCAGCCAGGGACCTTTGGGGAACCCAGGGCTGCAAAAGGGAAAAGAGCATTCCCAACACCCTTGTGTCGTGGGGCTGCCGACGTGGATCCTTGGCACAGACAAGGCCGCCAAGATGCCCTCCATTTGCCCGAGTCTATCCCCACAACCCTGGAGGGGATCAAGGCCAGCCCAGGAGGCAGCCTAAGCCTCCTAGCACCCAGGAGGGCAGGAAGCAAGTACAGAGCCCCCTTCCCCACCTGGGAATCAGACCGGAGCCTGGTAGGAGGTGCAGGGAGCTGCCTGTCTTCTAGGCTTAGGGCTTACCGTGGCCTCCCTGAGGTTGTGAAATGGATCAGCGGCTGGGAGGAAGGGAGAAGAGGGAAGAAGCCACATTGCAAAAGCACAGCCACGCCGCCCTGGGCCAAGCCTCTCTGAGCAAGAGCTTGGCTTCTGCATGGGAACCTCTCCAGATCCCTCAGAGAGAATGGCTTCATCCGACAACAAAAGAGGTGGTTTCTCCAGGAAGGCGGGCTGGCCTTGTGGGGGAAATGGGGTGGAAAGATCTGGAGAAAGAACATTCCAGACCACTGAGTCAACCTGCCCAGGGCTGGGGGCGAGTTGGTGGATGCGGTGGCTTCTTCAGCAGCCTCAGAAGGGATCCCAACCCCAGAAGGCTCAAAAGGAGGGGCTCTGGAGAAGCCAACTCTCTCTGGCACCCATGTTGCAACCTCAGGGGCCCCAAGCTCACAGGGTTTCTCTGTACCTCTGCCTAACCAGCCCTTTGGGTCGCTATTTATTTCATATAAAGTATCTGCTTCGCTGGGTGATTCATGGAAGACTGCGTGGATCTTGAATGATACCTGGTTGCCAAACTAGGATAACTAGTGTAGGATAAATGCAAGAGAACTTTTAAACAGGAAGTCGATGGTTACTGCATTTGCAAATCCTGGTTTTGAAAGACCTGGGTGCCTGGGGAGTGTTTGAACAAAGGATTTATGGGTTGCCCCCAGGCCCCAATTTCCTATTGTTTTATGGTGTAGCTCAAGATATGTGAGAGCCAGGTGGCCTTTGCAGTGAAGGAGACAGGGTGAAAAGCAGCCCCACCCCTTGGCATGGACTTGCAATCCAGCCTGGACCTCAAGAGCCACTTCCAGGTCCCTCAGCATGAGGTCCATGTAGAAGCAGGAGGGAGACCATGACTCATATCTCCAGAGTCCCTGACCCAAACACTGTGGGAGGGTTTGCAACCTCATCCCCCCCCCTCCCCCCGGGAACCTAGGAAAATATTTGTCCCTGCTTCTTCAATCTGTCCCTCGCTGGAAGGACGTGGCCCTTAGGGTGGAGAGGATACCAGAAGCAGAGCAAGGGCCTTTTTCTTAAGCCAACTCTCAGCAAGGAAAACAGCAGCAAACAAGGGGACCAGACTTCATCATAAGCATCGGCCAGGCCAGAGAGCATCCTGAAGGCATATTTGCACCCGCACCACAGTCCCATGCTTCCAGGCCAAGCTTTGAGCTGCCGACCAAAAATTCAGAAAGCTTTCAGCATCTTGGCCAGAGAATGAGGAGGTGGAGGGAGGCATCTCAAGGTGCTACAGAGGCCACGCAGGAGGCTATGGGCTTGAGCTGGCTTTTCTGCTTTGAAAGCCAGCAACAAGACGCTGTTAGGCTTAGCGGTGCCTCGCAGCCAAGTCCGTCTCCAGGCTGGCTGTCCCTTGGCACCGTTCCTGGGGATGGATCCCCTACGGAATGCAGCATGGCCCCACAGAAAGAGCTGCTGCTCCAGGAATAGCAGAGATCCGATTTAATAGATGCTGCGCACCATTTCCCAACCAGCTTTACTGAGCCACCATTTTCTTTGGCCAGAGTTCAGCAGCCCTGGCAGCGCTTATTTTGCAGCAGCAAAAGTTCAAGGCAATGGGCCACCGGAGCTGATTGTTTGGCTTTATTTCCCCCCCCCCCGTCCCCCCCTAAATATGACTGGCTCCCTCCCTGGCTGCACTGGAAAGAGCTTTGAAATCCTCTATCTTTCCGCAGGCTTCAGATTTTCTTTAGGCTACATTGCTCAGGGTTCTTGTAGAGCTGGGAAATCTGTAATAAATAGAGAGCTGGCCAAGTGGGCAGGAAGCAAATTACGCATTTTGCCAATGTGCATACGGGTAGATCAAACAGATTTTAATCAGGCAGTTAGGTTCTGGCCTGTGAGGGGACTCAAGCTTTCCCCAGGGAAACAGGTCAGACTGTACAGAAAACGGCAGATATATCTGAGAGAGCAAGTATTCTGCCAGTAACTAAGCTGATTTGCTGTCTTTGGATCTCACAAATGCCCTCCCCCCCCCCATCTCCTCCAGGCACCCCCAGCTTCCAGAGTCACTGGAGTACAGTGTGTTGTGAGAACAAAGCATTGTTCAGTAGTCGCAAATATATCATATATAGAAAGCCCATATCTGGCATTGCAGTGGCTAGAACTCTTCCAGGCGCTGCATGACCAGTTTAACTTAGAGTAGAACTACTCCTTCAACCTTTCAACCCTGTTGATGTATCCCAAGGTTACAGTGATCACACTACTGGCTTAATCTGTGGTCTCCTAGGACACCCAGACCTTTGCACACACACACAATTGGTGAGCCAAATGTCCCTTACTGCGCATCTGGTTTTCCCTATTTAAATGCAGAATGCCACATTTCTCACTACTGGACTGTATATTATCGGAGAGGGCCCAGTGTCAAATCTAGCGAGATCCCTTTGAAGACGGGTTCTGCTCACCAAATTGTCTTCTATGTCAATCCTCCAAATACCACTCCATCTAGAAAGTGGGTGGTATGAGGAAATCAAATAGTCTCCCATCCTCATGGGTTGGCATTATTGGCCCTGAGCTTATGCTGACCCAGCCAGCTTAATGGCACAGCATCCCAGCAAGAACATCCTCCAAGCAACAGCTAGGAGTTCCTGGAATTGAAGTCTCCAACTAAAATCCTCCTACGGCTGGAAGCCTCCCTGCTTCCCAACGAAAAGCCAAAACCACATCCTGGAGGGGGACCCTGGTCAGGATCTTAACACACCCACACATCAGAACAGGAAAACACTGTGCAAGTGCTCTGCAGTCAAGTATTATCATTCCACCTCGCTTTTTTCTCCTAGTCTGAACAAATGCAAATGATTCCCCCTCCCCCAATGATCTCTTCACAGAAGTGCTGCTCTTTGGCGATGATGCCCCAGCAGCTCCCAGAGGAAGCCCTTCACGGCTGGGGCTCCAGGAGCCCCTTTAGGATCGAGCAGCATAAGGCGTTGCCTGCTAAGGTGCCAAGTGGGCATCTCCAGAGCAAGAAGGGCCCCGTTCTTTGAGGGCTCAACCTTTTAGCCATCCCTTCTCATCAATGAGGAGGCCTCGCCTTCAATGCTATCGGGGTAGGGGGACCAGGAGAGCAGCCAAGTTCCGGTACCGCAGGGACCCTTTTACCGAGACGGCAGGCGGGCTGGGCACTTGCTTCGGCCAAGTTTCAGCTGCACTTTCCAAACGGAATGAAGGAGAACGAACCCAAAGTGGACGAGGGGCGAGGGGGGTTCGGAGGTAGGAAGAGGTGGCAGGCAGCGGGTGGAGCACGAAGCGGGCTGCCCAGCCCAAAGCCCTGGGACGGCCACCAATTTGTGCCCCGCTGCCACAGCGCCAGGGCGAGAGAAGGGACCCAGCCCTGCCACCCCTGGGCACCCGCTGCTTCCAGAAAGGGAGTCCCCACTGCCGGCAGGGGACGGGGGACCAGAGCCCTTGCGAAGGGAGGGGGGCAACTGCCCCGAAGACCTCCGCTCCTGCCTCGCCCTGCACCGCAGCCACGGGGGCGGGGGGGGTGTCCTGGGAGTCCATCCTGGGGGCGGAGGGGCCGTTACTGCCCACCCAGCCATCCAGCGGGGCCACCAGCCTCGCCCTCCCGGAGATCCGGGCAGAGGAGCGGCGGTCCCGGTGACTCCCTCCGAAAGGCGGCGAGGCTGCGGCGACCCCCCGGAGCTCCCGCCCCGCCCAAAGCGATCGGCTCCCTGGAAAAGCCCCTCAGGAGCGCCGGGAGGGCTGCTGCCGCCCGCACTTTGGGAGGTTCCCCGCTCCCGCCGGGCCCTTTCCGCCCCCACCGACCCTCCCGAGCTCCTCCGCCAGCCGCTCTGCCCCGAGCCCTTCCAGACGGGGAAGGCCGAGACAAAGGGGCAAGGGCGTCCCCCCTCCGATCGCCCGCCCGCCTGCCCGCCCCCGCCCCGCTTCGGCAGCCGCGGGGAACGGCCGCGCCGGCGCCCCTCGCCCGCTCTCACCGGCAGCGGTCCGGGCCACGGGGCCGGTCGGAGGCAGCCCGCCGAGTCCCAGCAGCCACGCGCACCGCCCGCCTTGGCCCCCCCGGAGGCGGAGCCTGGGAGCGCGGGGGCGGGGCCACCGCTGCCGCCAGGCGTGCGGGGCGGGCTTCAGAGCCAGAGGCGCGGCGCCGCCAAACCGGTTGGGGGCGCGCGAGGGAGCCCTGGGCGGGGCGGGGCGTCCGATTCAGGCCTCGCCTTTCGGGTCTGTGCCAAGCGGAAGGGGCGGGCCAGTCGCCAGAAGTGGGAACCATGGCGGCGTTCTCGAAGGCGGCCAAGTCGCGGCAGCGGCAGCACCTCGAGCGGGGCCAGGTCGGCTCGGGGCTCCCGCGGGGGGGCAGGGGGGCGGCGGGGCTTCCGGGGGGACGCCTCTGACTACGTGTTTCTCCTCAGCTCGCCTCGCGGAGGGCCCTGGGGCTGCTCGAGAAGAAGGCGGATTACCGGCTGCGCGCCGCGTGAGTGGAAGGGCCGAGCGGGGCGGGGGCGGGTGCGCGGCGGGGCTCGGCTCCTGACCCGCCGCCGTCTTTCTCCGCAGCGACTTCCACCGGAAGCGGGATGCGTTGCGGGCGCTGCGCCGCCGCGCGCAGGACAAGAACCCCGACGAGTTCTACTTCCGGATGAGCCGCGCGCCGCTGCAGGTGGGTCGGCGGGGCTGGGGTGGCGGGTGGCCGGCTGCCTTCCCCTCCCCGAGTCCCCCGCGGGCCTCCCGACTTGGCTCGCCGGCCGCCTGCCTGGAGCCCGACGCCTCGTGCCTTGCCGGCAGGACGGAGTCCACGTGATCGGGGCGCAGGCCGCGGAGTCCACTCCCGAGCAGCAGAAGCTGCTGAAGACGCGGGACCTGAAGTACGTGGAGGCGAAGCGCGCGGCCGAGGTCAAGGTCAGAGGACTCCCCCGGCCCTCCGCTGCCCCACCTGATGCCCACCTCTCCTCCCCTTTCGCCGCTGCCCTTAGGCGGGGGGGGGCTGGGCTGCCCCTTCCCGGGCTTGCTCTGCTTGTTGGGGGGAACGCACAGGGGGCCCAGGGCACTGGGGTCCCCTCCGGAGGTTGGGCCTGCTTGCCCCCCGCCCCCCTCCCCGTGGGGCCTGGCCGTGAGAGAGGCGGGCTGTGGGGGCTCTTTCGCGGGGTGGTAACCTGCATCTTTTTAATGGCAGAAAATCGAGCGGCTGAAGTCGGAGCTCCACCTCCTGGAAGCGGAAGGGAAGCAGCCAAATCGGCACCTGTTCTTTCTGGACACCAAGAAGGAGGGTAAGTGGGGAGGGGGGGGCTGGGGCTGCCTCTGGCTGGGTGTGGGAAACCAGGGGGGCAGAGAAGCCGGCCTGGTGAGGCTTTGACCTCCTGGCGGAAAGGCCGAATGGAAGGAGGGAGCTGGGGTGTTTCCTTGGTGTGAGGCTACTAGCAATAGGTGACTGAATTGCAACAAATCATAATTTATATTAAGATATTTTTTATTCCAATCTCGACTTAACAAATATCAGTATGGTGATTCCTGTTCTTGAGTTTGTAATCTAAAAAGATACAACAAAGAAAAATGGAAAGGGGGAGGCAAAAACTAACCCCAAATCCAATACTAAGAATTTCTATAAAGGCTGGCTGAGGTGAAAACTAGAGATGCACACAAAAGAGAAAGTGTGTGGTTTTGTTATGAGACAAACGTCTTGGAAATTTCACCAACATGTTCTAGGTGAGTTGTAATTCAGCCACATTGAAAAACTTGCCAGTTCTGAGTTTTGACTGGGAGAAAAGGACAAATACAATGTATATATAAAAAAATCAACACATCCCTGTTAAAATACCAGCTTTTTTGAGATGTTAAAAAGAATTAGACTAACACTACTTCAGAATTTTTTTCTACCTGTATAAGCTGTACTTGAAAAACAAATATTTTAGGAAGAAAGATATACACACACACACACACACACACATGTTTTCTTAAGTTTTCGTGGGTACTTACATGTATGGCATTCGGCTTTGCTCGGGTATTTTCCCACGTCATAGTAGTTTAAAAGCACTTTTAAAATTTTAAAAGCACAACTACTATGACGTGGGAAAATACCCGAGCAAAGCCGAATGCCATACATATATATATACATATACATACATACATACATACATACATACATAAAATATATAATATAATATATTAATTATATATATATTAGTGGTTGCATAAGTGCCCTTAAATATTTTGTTAAAGTACCTTTTGATTTTATGACAGCATTCCGTCTTTTGGGGTAAGATGAGCCTATCAGCATGGTACATCTTGCCTTTGGAATCTTTGCCCACTCTTCCTTGCAAAAACACTCCAAATTTGACAGATTGTGAAGGAAATCTGTGCATAGCCCTTCTCAATCACCCTACATATTTTCAATTGGTTCAGGTCTGGACTTTGAGCCATTCCAAAACTTTGATCTTCTAGTAAATGCATTCATTTGTTGATTTGGAGATATGATTTTGGTCATTGTGTTGAAAGGTGAAATTCCTCATCTTCAGCATTTTAGCGGAGGTTTGCACTTGACTAAAGCCCTACCCCAAAGTATAATGCTGCCACCACCATGCTTCACTGTGGGTAGAGTATCCTTTGGTTGATGCACTGTATGGTTTATGTACCAAATTTGAATTATGGCCAAAAAGTTCAATTTGGTCTCATCAGAACACATTTTCCCACATGCTTTTGTCAGATAATTTTTTTTTTTTTTTGCAAAATCTAACTGGGCTTGGATGTTTTTCTTTCTAAGAAAAAGCTTCTGTCTTGCCACCCAACTCCACAGCACAGATATATGAAAAATACAGGGGATTGTTGTCACATGTTGTAAATAATCAGTACTTGACAGAAATTCCTGCATCTTCTTTAATGTTGCTATAGGACAGGGGTGTCAAACTGGTAGACTGTGGGCTGAATGTGTGACACGTAGGCCATGGCCACCCCAGCTCTGTGAAGGGAAAAAATGTCACGATGCGTCACATGATGGCAATGTGACACGGTGAGTTTGACACCTGGGCTGTAGGGCCTCTTGGCAGCCTCTTCAACCAATTTTCTTCATTTTTAAAGTCGATTTTGGACGGACATCCAGTTCTTAGTAATGTCACTGTTATGCTACATTTTCTCCACTTGTTCATGTCTTTACTGTGTCCCATCGTATATCCAATGCCTTGGACATTGTAACATTCTCCTATGGGAAGAAAAAATAGGCTTATTGATCGATCAGATTCAGTAAGGCCTTTGGATGACAGCTGACCCCAGAATAAAAGAGACATGAACCAAAGTTTTAGGCAGGATGATTTCAAAATGTACCAGAGATATTTGTAATCCTTTTGAGCTGCTTTATGGAACGTGATTTTGCAAAGTAGGTAGTGTTGAAAACCATGAGAAATAGGGAACAGAAAGTAGCCAATGGATCGAAGTTTGAGATGGTATATGTGGAGACTGTCAGTAAGAAAGAACAGAGAAGTAAGTTGTCAAATGCATGCAGAAAAGTATAAAAAGAATGCCTTGTGATGTGTTCAGGGCCACTGGCCATGACTACTCCTTACCGGACCCAGCCATGTCGGTGGACCTCATTGCAATGAGTTATTTGATATAAATTGTGTTATGATAGCTGTTCATGTTCCAAATTGCTCATGAAATAAACCTCTGATCTCAAAGTAGGATTTATTGCTTGTGATTTGTCTGTGTTCCTCTTTTATGGAATTATTTTTACAACACCCCTGACTGATACCTTACAGATAATGATCTCATTTGATGCTTTGTAAGCTCTTTGCAGACTCGCTTTTGCTGAGAGGCAATTGAGTAAATGTCAGAAAAATCCTGCAAGAATAACTGAACTTTATAAGGGCTTGATCAGAGTCACTTTAATTGATAGCAGGTGTGTACTATTTACCATAAATTTGAACATGTTTCGTTAATTCTGAACGCAGACACATCCCTACTTATAAGAGGGTGTGCACACTTAACCAACCTCATTATTGAATCTTTTTGTTATTTTTCCTCCTAAAAGATTTGTTTTTTTTTAATTGAATTGTGCAGCTTGTATGCTATATTAAAGGTGGGGGAAAAAATCTGAAGTGATTTATCTTGGTCTAATTTTGAGGTGGTGAACCTCTTTAAGAAGAGGAGGGACACCCCCCCTCCCCAAAGGAAGGATACAACCGTCTTCGTCCCTCCCACTGTTGCAGCTCTTCTAAGTGAAATAGCATGCCTGGCGGGTTATTTGGCCTTTTCCTCTTTGTGCAGCATGTTTCCTTTGTAAACCTAAGGCTGGCCTCAAACGGTTTGTAAGCTGGGAGTCAGGGAGGGTCCAAGTAATTATGAGAAACCAACCTGTCCTTTCCTCAGTGCAAGGGTTTGATGTTGCATTCCATCTGAACACGGCTCCGGAGCTGGTCAGCAGAGTCTACAACAGGCCAACCCTTGAAACCCTGAAGAAAAACGCAGTTTCGGGGATCACCACTGATGGACAGTTACAGGTCTGATCTGCTAATGCTTCTCAGTTTCCTAGGGTCATCCCTTGAGCTCAGTTTGCACCCAGGGGTGGGAGGAGGAGCATATTTGTGCAGGTACCTGAAGTCATTGGCCTGGACAGGGCACCTTGGTTGTGAATGGCCACACTCGCCTTCCTTCTATTAGAAAAGGTTTATGTTCCCCCGAGTGTGCTTTCCTGGACGGGGCAAGGTCAGGATGGACAAAGTCCTCCCTGGATCTCCACGGTGTTGACAGTCCTACTTAGTCTCTGGGGTTTTGTTGTTCGTAAACCTGCTTCAGAAGGAAGTGACTGACTACAGGGTCTTAGGTGTCACTGGGGTGGCCCTGGAAAGTGGCCGCTCACCCTTTCAAAAGACTTCAATGAGCTCATGGCCGGTGAATGAGACTGTTGCCAATTTGACTCTGAAATGGTGGCCTCTTGTTGCTCCATTGGCAGAAGACAGTTGGCCGGTGGCTGGCGTGAAGAGCTGAGCTACAGAAGAGTGAAAACGTTCCTCCTCCTGTGGTGGATTTCAGGCTGATCTGCCAGGGAAGCCTCTTTCAGGGCCGAGTGCGGCTGCTTCCTTTGCATGTG